TAAAGGAAGAGCTAAACTATATATAGAAGTTCTATTAAAATTCTCACACCCCCTCCCAGCCCCAGGACGCCTAGTCTCCCTCGCCCGCCTCTCCTTGCTTCTTTCCCATAGCACGTATCACCTTCCAACATATTCTACAGCATGTTATTTATAACGCCTGCATTCCACGGGGCGGGAAACCAGGCAGGAAGGAAGGAGGGAGCCGTCCTGCACCTTGTGAACTGGGGGTCTTCCCCTTGACCCATGTGCTGCCCTAGAAGTCAATCTCAAAATAAACAGGTTCCTACAGAACCAGGAGAGCAATACAAACGCATTAAGAGAATGTGCTGGGAGCTGCTTATGGAATAATCTGGAGACATTAACCCAGAAGTGGATTCTGTCCAAAGCTATATATGGGTAATTGCATTGATCCCACAAAACAAGCTTTACAGCTTGCAAGTATGTGCATTTAATGAGAGACAGAAAAAGAGAGAGAAAGCGGGAGGGGAATGTGCCAGCCAGACTCCATCGCAAGCAGCCATATCCATCGCCTGCTTTAGTCCTGCCTCTGCCGGAGGAGATGAGTCCTATTAATAGTCCCATTTTAGAGAGGAGGAAACTGAGGCAGGTCTCCCAGCCAAGCAATCTGAATTCAAAGCACACCCCCTCTACTGGCTGAGGTGAGGGAGGCCAGGTGGCCGGTATGGGTGTTGGGGAGGCCCGAGGTCAGAGTCTGGCTTTGGGGTTGGCTGGGATCCAGGCTCCACGCAGACCTAGCGGGGAGGAGGAAGAGTGCACTGATTTACAGCCTGACGGGCAGACAGCCGCGGGTGGGGGCCAGCACTGCAGACTCCTGGGAGAGATAAGTGTGCCCTGGGGCGCCCCCGCATTCCTGCCCGGGATGCACGGGGAGGAGGCCAATGCCTCTCAGAGCCTTCTCTCCCCCCGCCCTGCTGCTGTGGCCTCACAAGGACCCTGGAAATCAGCAGCGACCCCGCTCCAGACCGCTCTAACTTCACCCCACCTGCCCTGCAAGGTTCAAACGTCTGGAGATTGTGCTTGTGTGGGGGAGGGGGGCTCATCAAAATCACCACAAGCTTCAGGGACAAGACTCCCTGCTCAGAAATATGGAAACCCCCAGCAGACATCCCCTGGCCCTCTCCTGTTTATTTCTGAAAGCGATGGCCTTCCCCAAACTCAATCAGTTCTCCACACCGCACCATCTTCCTCAAACCCACATCCTTCTTCTGCCTACAATCTCCCATGGCTCCCGAGTGCCCACAAGGTAAACCCACCCCCTTTTGGCTGGAAGACCTGACCTCTTTGTCTTCCTGCTCTATAATCTCCCATCCCACTCCTCTTAGACTCACCTGCTCTTTAGTTCTGGGAAGGTGCACTGTGGCCCTCAAAAGCTCTGTGGCCCTGTTTGGTTCCATGCACCGATTCCTCTACCTGCAGTGTTATCCTTACTCACCTTCCTCTGACCAAGTCCAACTTCTCCTCCAAATCTATCCACCAGCAAGCCTACCAAGAGCTTATTCCACCCCTTGCTGGCTCAGGGACCTCCTTGACGCTTCACTGCTGAGGACAGTTATTACCCCCAGAGGAAAGAAAAGACCAGAGAGGTTAAGTGACTTGCTCAAGGGCACACAGCTGGTGAAGGGCAGATCCAGACAGGTGGGTCCCAGAGCTTCACTGTGACCCTCTCCACAAGGTGGAGCAAGGGCAGGCTCTTGCTGGTTAGTGGACATGAGGCTGAGACTGAGCTGCTTGAACACCCTCAACCTGAGGCAGCGGGCAGTAGTTCAACTCTGTGCCTGGCCTGTACGTTCCAGGACTAAGACATGAATACAAACGCTGATCAGTGGCTGCTGCCCCTGACCCTGAGCTCCCTGGGGGGTGCTCAGCTCACAGCCTGGCTTCACCACGCCCAGAAAAGATTGCTCCCCCTGCAGCGGGAACACCACATGCATGGGAGATGAAAGCATGGACTCCAGCTTTGCCCCTGTCTGGCTGTGTGGCTTTGAGCAAGATACTTAGCTGCTATGGGCTCCAGAGTCTTCAGCTGTCCGTGGGGATAATAATAGTGTTCTGATAGGATGTGGAGGAGGGTAAGCAATGGGATCTTTGCGTGAGTTAGTGCGACGGCAGTGCTGTAATGCTGGGCAAAAGGAGCCATCTCTTCTCAGGAGGACAAACAGGTGGGTCTGCACCCCAGCCCAACCCAGCCCCGCCTTCCCCAAGCTTCCGAGCTTCCATCTCTGGGCCATGGTCGCCTCATCTCTGAAGGAGAAGGACGTTTACTCTTGCAGGCTGCGCTCACATTCCCTGAGGACACCTGGTCCCCGGGCAGTGAGGAGATGGTCTCCATGGAGACAGCCCAGGTCTGCCCAGTAGGGCAGGAGCCCTGGGAGCAGCCAGGGTCACCAGCTGCCTTGTGTGCCAGGGGCCTGGGACCTCTGCCTGGCCAGCACTGAGCCAAGGTCAGAGCAGCCCCTGCCCGCTGCCCTGATGGGTCTTGTGGGCCTGGCCCCTCCCTGGGTCACAGGCAGCAGCCAGCTGGGGCAGGCAAATCCACTTCTACCAGGCCTGGGAAGTGCTCAGGCCCTCCACACACTAGGGAGGCCACAGCCTCCCCTGAGACAGTGGGACTGGCAGGCCAGAGGAGGACGCACCTCCGTTGGTGGCAGGGGGCATCCTCCTCACAGTCTGGCAGGGCTGCTGGAGAGCCAGGGTACACAGGGACGGGTGTGGGGACCCGAGGGACGGCCCTTCTCTGCCGTTCTCTTCTGCTGGGCTTCTCTGTGCCAGCCTTAGTGTTGCAGGTGCTGCAGCCAGTTGTCTTCCTGCCTGGGCCCCTGGGAGGACTGCAGAGGGCTGGCCGAAATTGATGTCTGCTTCGTCTGTCTGCTCCCCCACCTCAATCTTCTGTTGACTGGCTCCATCCTTCTTGTCTTGGTTAAGCTTTTTGATGAATGCAGAGTTTCTTGTGACTTAGGGGATTCTTCCTTCTGCTTCAGGCATCTGCTCCATCTCTCTCTGTCTCTGATGCACAAGCCCACGGGGCCACTGACCACCTCTCCACTGAGATCTGTAGGGGGAGGAGAGGCAGGGACAGGGTCTCTGTAGAAGCAGAACTCATGGGGCTCTAGCACCCTGTGAGCCCAGCCATTGTCTCTGCCTCCCCCTCTCTAACGGGCTCTGTCACCCCCAGGGTGGGGGTCACAGTGCACATCCTGGGCGGGCTTGCTTTTCACCTGTTCCTTCATTCCTGTGGGAAGGGCACCAGCCTGCCCTTCGCAGGTGTCCCCACTGCACGGAGAGGGAGGAGGGGATGGGTGGGGAGTTCACTTCTTTGAGAGCAGCAGCGGGGGACCAGACTGGCTTCTGGGAAAGGGGTTCCTCTCGGGTGAGAAGCCACTCATGGAGAGGAGGAGGAGGGTGCACCTGGAGGCAGGGACTGCAGGGAAGCACAGGGAGGGGACCACGCTCTGTGCAGCTGTAGAGGGAAGTGATGGTGGCTGCGGAGTGGGACCCATGCACAGGGACCATAAGGATGACAAAGACAGTGTCCAGAGGGCATGGGATGACAGAGCCCAGGAGAGGCCCCTCTGAGGAGCAACTGGAAAGACCTACCAAGGTGCCCTCTTTGGCAGAAGTGCTCCTGAACACCCTCATTGCCACCTCTGGACACTGGGTCCCTGGGCCGGGCCCTGTGCAGTCTGCACAAGTCCTGGTGTGGCCGGGTCCTCGTGACGACCCTGCAGAAAACCCCTCCTGCGACCTGACCTCCGTTACCCACTTGCAAGGTGGCACACTCGTGCAGAGGATAACGGGACTCCATCCGGGCTCTCTCAAGGAACAATCTACAAACAGAAAAACTGATTTATGAAAAGGAATTTGCTCATGTGATCATGGAGGCCGGGAAGCCCCAGATCTGCAAGCCAGAGACAAGGACAGCACAGGGTGTGGTTCAAGTTCATGTCCAAGTCCAAAGACAGGAGAAGGCCCAGCTCAAAGATGGGCAAGAAGGCAGGGTTCTCCCTCACTCAGCCTTTTATTTGATTCAGACCTTAAACCAACAGGAGGAGATGCCCCAGCGGAGGACCGTCTGCACTGCTCAGCCACCGATCCTGATGTTCACTCCATCCTGAAACACCCTGGCACACACATCCAGAAACAATGTTTAACTAAGCATCCAGGCAAGTGGTAGACAAATCACGCTGATACATAAAATTAACCATCTATTAACTAAGAATAATGGTGCACATATGTAACCCTAGCACTCTGCGAGGCCAAGGCAGGTGGATCACAAGTTCAAGTCGAGCCTGAGCAACTTAGCCATTTAGTGAGTCCCTGTCTCAAAACAAAAAAATAAAAAGGGCTGGAGATATAGCTCAGTGTGAAGGTTCTGTGTTCAATCACCATCACCACATACTCAAAATAAAAAATTAACCACATGGAATAAATGCCACTAAAATTACCAGGGAAGAGAGTATATTCTCAAGACTTGATGGTGAATGCTTCTGCCATTTCTGCACCAAATGGACTTTGGCGGGTTGGCAAACTGTAACCTAACAGTCAAATCGGGTCTGGCTCCCCTTTTGTTGTCAACAAAGTTTTATTGGCATATAGCTGCACCCGATCGCAGGTGTGTGGTTTGTGGATGGTTTCCCACACTGAGCCCATACTGTGTGCAAAGTATTTTCTGCCTGGCCCTTGGAGGAAAAGTTTGCCCACCCTGATCACACACTTAATGCCTCAGTTTTCTCACTGAGAAATGGGTACAGTAAATATCTTCCTCACCAAGTGGTTGGGAGGGTTTAGTAGGGCTGGCAAAGTCCTGGCTGACTGTCCATGCTGACTTCCACCCTGATCACACACTTAATGCCTCAGTTTTCTCACTGAGAAATGGGTACAGCAAATATCTTCCTCACCAAGTGGTTGGGAGGGTTTAGTAGGGCTGGCAAAGTCCTGCTGACTGTCCATAGATCGAGTCCTCTCTGACTGTCCTGGCTGACTTCCGGGTCCATGCCACCTGGGTGGTGGTGGCATTGCTGTGTTAATGGGTTCACCAGCCATGATTATCAGAGGAGCTCCTAGGAAGCTCTGGGGTTCACCTCCAGCTCTCCAGGAGACAGACCTGCCATGGGAGGTGAGTGGCCTTCTCCAGAGGCAGCCGGAATCCTTCCCAACACAAAAGAGCCATTCTGAGCTCGAGAAAGAAAAGTCCAAGAGAGGATGTCAGGCCAAGCGTCCATAATTGCCTGTAATTTGGATTCAGCCTCTTGAGGCAAAAAGGTTTTGTCAAAGGCTTTTCACGGTCTGGTGCCCCCATAACCCAAGGTCACATAGATCGAGTCCTCTCTGACACATATTTATTATCAGGTGGAAATGGCACTTGGGTTTCTAGTGAGCCATGAGCAGACATGTTCTGCGGCAACTGCTGAGCTCTCCAGTCCTCGGCCGTGGCAGAATGGGGGGCGGGCACTCCTGCACCCAGAAGCTGTGGCATCTGCCTGCAGGCCAGGATCAAAATGGAGCCTCAGTTTCCCCATCTGTAAAAGATGGGTATAATAAGTGCCTATGGAATGCTGGATACCCTGCCTGGCCCCCAGGGAACACTCACTGTCTGGAAGTCACTCTGTTTTCTTTAACAGTTCCTTCCCCCCTCAACTGTACCTAGACCCCCACAGGTGCAGCACAGTATGAAGCAGACAGAGCTTGGGCTCTGGGGACAACCAAAGCACAATTCCCATACAATTGGAGGTTCAGGAGCTGCAGAGCCTACTGCCAGACTCTCAACCTGTTTTCCCCAAGGGACAGAGACTCGTTCTGCACCCCATCATGGAAGAGGCTGCTGGGAGTCAGGGTGAGTCCGTACCTCAGAAGGGACCCGGATGGTGGTCCAGAGTGGTTATTTGTCTGGGCTCTGGGATCAGGGCTCAGGTAGATTTGGATTCTAATCCTGTCTGTGAGAAACAAAACAAGTCTCCCTAATTGTATGCCCTTATTCTACCCAGTATTTTACTGAACTCCTTCTGGGCATGAGGAGCCATCCTGTGTACTGGAGATAGAGCTTGGGACAGGATGAACAAAGCCTCTGCCCACTTAGCGTACAAGACAGGTGATAAATAGGTCAGTGAATAAACACTGACAATGATATGATAAATGCTAAGGAAAATGAAAGCAGGGGAAAAGGTGCTGCATGAAGTTTGGGGTCAAGGGCAGAGATTTGCAGAAGTGATACTTGAACAAAACAGGGATAGTAACAGCACTAACTGCAGGATGTCATCAGATTTTTAACCAGGTGACTAGATACAGCTCTTACCACACTGCCTAAGTACTACCAACATGTGAATTGGGATATGGGTAGGTGGGAGGATGGATGGATGGATGGATGGATGGGTACAGAGATGGATTCATGCACTGATAGGTAGATGGTGGATGGATGGACAGGTGGATAGCTGCACTGAAGAGCAGATAGGTGGATGGGTACATGAATGGATGAATATATCATTGAATGGATGGTGGGTAGATGACTAGGGGGATGCATGAATGGATGATAGATCAGAGACTCAGTGGAAAATAAATGGGTGCAGTTTGGAGAGCCAATAAGGGATATTGAGTCACACGGGAATGAGCAACAGAGCAGTAATGTGTCAGCCCTGCTGGCCTTGAACATTGAAGGGATGAAGAGATGTTCCAAGGTCTGCACCAAGGCTAGTCAGGGGCTACGACTGCAGGCAGAAAAATCCAGCCACTCCCAAACTCACCAGAGGGAGGAAGGGGACAATCGATGCACCAGTCTCACTCCCTCCTCTCTCTTATCTTCTCCTGGCACCACGCACTGACTCTGCTCACCCAGAAGCTGGAAGGCAAGGAAGCCTGAGCCATACAGCCCACCAGCATGGCCTCTCAGGCACAGAGTGAAGACAGGAGGGTCATGGCAAAGGAACCTGGAAGACAATGGGAAACCTCAACAGACAAGCAGGTGCACCAAGGAGCAAGTGAATCTCAGTAAAGGGACCTCAGGGACAAGAGGACTTCCCATCCAGCATTGCCAGCCTTCTTAGAGGAGTCATTCTTAGTAGCTAAGCCAGGAGATCACTTCAGTCTTGAAAAGCCTACATCAAAATAACTGACTATAACTGAAACCTAGTTTTCAGTCATGTGATATCTGATGCAAGTGGGATCTCCAAGAGGTGACAGCCGGATCCCATATCCCTTCCTTGCTGGGATTCCACAATCTTTACTAAGCAGGAGAAGAGAGAGGGCTGGAGTTGTACGTTCAACCAGGAAGTGGTTCTTTACTTCCTCTCACGTGCTATTGGCCAGAATGAGTCACATGACACACACATGTCTCCCCTCCCCCCAACCAAGGAGGCTGGGAAATGCCTCTCCCCTTGTGCCCAGAAGTGCAATCTGGAGCACAGGTGGACTGTTCGTTTCACATTACTTCAGGATTGGAAGCTGCCTGATAAAAGAAAGTAAACAAGCCTGCTCTGACCGCAGTCAAAATGACTTAGGAAATACAGTGAATAGAATAAAATGAATAAAAGCCTAGATTTTGGAGTCACAGAGACCTGGATATGAATCCCGCTCAGCCCTTCACCAGTTATGTTAGACTGGACTTAGTTTTAGCATCTCTAAAGTGGAGAATGATCAGGACATTTACCGTCATCTGACAACCCTTGGCACAGAATAGGCACTGAAATGCTTGTTGAGTGACTTTACAAATGGAATTCATAGGATTGAAGATGATGAGGCAGGAGAACCACGTAACACAGGCAGACATGTAGTGTTCGTGCCACCAAACTTGTCATCCCGGAACTTCTGGCTTCCTGGGTCCAGAGAGTGCCCACGGGCAGTGGGAACTGACAACAGCTGGGTGAGAAAGCAGTCTGCCTGCTAAGACCGCATTTTATGATGCAAAAGTAAGGATGAGGACTATTGCTCTGATTTGTGAATTTCTTTATGTGCAACATCTTACACAGGTATAAAACTGACATCAAATTTAGTTATTCATTTCTCAAATGGCCTTTATTGAAAAGAATATGACCATGCGGCAGCCTTGGAAGTGCCGACTCCACTCATGGTTGCTGACGGAGATGCTGTCTCTGCCAGGGGATCATGTCCTGAGGACACCCTTTCTGGAGTGCTCTCCCCAGGGTAAATGCGCTCCTGATGGTAGGTAAGAGATTGTGGCCCAGTGGCATTAGGAGGCAGAGGTTAAGCAAGGTCTCTGGGGTCCCCATGCCTGAGTGTGACTCATCCCCTATTCCCTGGCTGTACAGTCCTAGGTGTGTTACACAACCTCTCTGGGCCCCAATGTCTTCAATGTAAATCACAGACAGTTGTGGAACTGATCTCACAGGCTCCTCTAAGAACTATGCTCACTTAGTATTGGCGAAGAATCTAGCATAGGACTTGGAACACAGAGGCCCTCAGAGAAGGTAATCATGATTATAGGAGGAGGAGTCCTTTTGATCAAATATTCATTCAATAATCATGAATAAAACAGCCACTCTGTGATGCTTACCAAGGTGAATAAAACAGGTGTAGTTCCTGAGTGCCCAACCTGGACACACAGATGGATGTAGGAAGGATGATTCCAAGCCCATGGGTGCCTCTTTAACTGCAACTCCAGGATCGCTGGAGGCCCAGATGGCCTTCGGGATCCCCAGTCCTGTGATCCAGGGCTCCTTGTCCTAGCATCTTAGGAATATTTCAAAAGGACTTGCGCAGCCCATTGTATGCCGGTGACACCAGACTAAAGGCCCCAGGCGTACAGATCACAGATCCCAAATGCCAAATACCAGAGGCTAAGTAGGTGTCAGGGAGTGGACGGGGGTCCTCTGGGCTACCAGCTCTGAGTGAACTTTTCCCTCCTTCTCAGAGTCACTCACAGAGCTAAGGCCCTGGGGCCACTGACTCTGCCCCCCAGGCAGGCTGCTGTGGTTACATCTGGAATGGCCCTCAAGGCCCTGTGTTAAATGCTTGGTCCCACTCCCACACTGTTCGAAGGTGGTAGGAACATTCAAGAGGTGGAGCCTGAGGTCATTGGCCTCAAGGAATAGTGAGACTCAGACCCCCTTTCCTCCTCTTTTCTACTGGCCATGAGGCAACTGGGCCTCTTCCACCATGCACCCCACTATGATCTGCTGTGCACCAAAGGCCCCTGACAGCAGGGCCAGTCAGTCCTGGACGGCACTCGCCCAAGCCATGAGTTATGTAACTCTTTCCTCTTGTTCAGCTAGTTGTTCTCAGGTGCTGGTTTCAGTCAGGGAAAGCTGACTAAGACATGGGGTGACTGAGTGGCCTGCAAGCCTCTGGGTCCAGAGTAGGAAGCCCCAGGCGTGTGACTGTCCTTTGGACAGGGCAGAGGCAGAGTGGAGACACAGTCCGTCCCTGCTGGGAGTCAGGGACCCAGATCCCAGCTCGCCGTGCGGTCCAGAAGCAGCTCCCCTGAGTCCTCAGTTTCCCTACTCATTCCATGAAAGTAGGTACAGCGAGGAGTGTTGGACGGAGCCAATGGGAAGCACTGCTCGTTGAGCAGAGCTTTGCCAGATGCAACAGAGCATGTCACCAAGGATCAGGGCCAGGCTCAGGAGTGTCACCCAGCCAGGTTCCAAAACCAGGGTCGCTAGTTATCCATCTTGTGGCACTGGATCTGTCACCAGGCCTGGCCTCTCTGGGCCTCAGTTTCCTCATTTGTAAGATATGGTAATCCAGCAAATGCCTGCACCTTTGGTGTTTGGAGGGTTAGAAGAAATATAGGATGAAAAGCACAGGGCAGTAGGCCTGGCAGGGGGAAGGGCACTGTCAGGGTAGAGAGCAGCTGATCAGCAATTCACAAATGCTTTCCGAGCACCAAGTGTGCATCACCATTCTCAGCACTGTGGTGGAGCAGGCAACAACCCAGCTCTCTTGGAGTTTCCCAGCAAGTGGGAGAGGCAGCGGGTGAGAGAGTAACTGGGGGTGCAGTCAGGTAATGAGACATGTGCTCTGGGGGCCATAATGTAGGCAGAGGACACAGGGAGTGGTGGGAGGCTGGAATCCAGGAGAGGTCTCAGGGAGGAAGAGACTGCTAGTTGGTCTTGATTACCTACTTGACTACACCGAGACTCCTAGAGAGGTGACTGGGCCCTGACAAGATGGTAGCTGAACAGGATGTTAGCACGAGGGGTGGCTGACTGGATAAAGTGAGTCCTGGGGCATGACCCTGGGGACCATATCTGGTCCTTGGTCCCTTCCTCCCCAGCTCTTCCCCTGCTTTCTGCCTCTTGGCTACCATGAAGTGAGCAGCTGTCCTCATGGCCTTGCCTGTCCACCATGATGTTTCTGCCTTGGAGCCAGCTAACCATGGACTAATGCCTCTGGAACCATGATCCAAATAAACCTCTCCTCCTTTAAAGTGTGTGAAGTATTTTGTTCCAACAACAAACAGTTAACTAATACAGTGAGCTCTGCATTGAGAGTTGAAGGCAGTGAGGGAGCAAGGGATGGAATTTTCAGGGGTAGCAATGGTGTAGTCAAAGGTACAGCAGCCAGTGCAAAGGCATTGGGCACAGTGGAGGGACTTGTGGAGGTGGGACTCAGGGAATAGTCAGCAGCTGACTTGTGTTGGGCCTGAGCAGACTCCAAATACTCTCAGATAACCTCAGCATCATCGCAGCATGATACAGCCTCAGAGACCCGCCCGGGCCTGATGCTCCCATTTTATATATAACCAACCACTGGCAAAGGCAAGCACCTCTCCTGCTAGTCCACTGCACTGTCGACCAGTTCCTCAGCCTCCACTGCACCTCACCTCTCTGCTCTGTGGCCATGACCCTCCTCTCCTAAGGCCTGATGGTTTGTAACCAAATTGGATACTAACCTGAGCTTCACTGTGACCCCAATTTTCTCACTGTGGTGGGCTATTAGGAGGCCAGAATTGTCTTAGTGCAGAGCAACCTGGCAGGAGGGAGGGAGCACACAGAGGCAGAGAGGGATGTGGGGACCCCAGGCATAGGGTGGCACTGGCAGTAGGGGCAGGGGCTCTGCCTGCCCAGCACTTTTTATTTCCTCCCTGGGCCAGTGCTGTCACAGTGTTTGCCTCTCCAGCTGGCTGGGCTGCTCCTGGCACCCTTGCCAAATGGCATCATTGCACTGTTGATCTTTGCCTGGTTACCAGGAAAACAAACACAGGCTCCTTGTGAGGTTCTCCTTTGCATTTCTCTCATGACAGGTGTGGATGAGCACATTTCCACCTGCTGCAGGAACATTTTCATCTCAATTTGCACTACTGTTTAGATGGTGAAATAATTAGACCCTTTTGGTGCTAGAGGTTTTAAATGTGTCCCCAACTTTGTCTCTCTTTGTTGGTCATAGATTGTGCTGTGCAGATTGGCTTATCTAGTTGAAGATATTGATATTTTCTTTTACGATATTTGGGTGACATATTTCTTCATGCATTTATTCACTTACACTTATTGTGTGCCTGCCATCTGCAGGAATCTAGGACTAAACAAGACAGGTAAACCTCTGCCCTCCTGGAGCTCAGCACGCCGTGGGAAGGTAGAAGATGAGCATGTAAACTCCCATGTAAATAAGATGCTAACAGAGAGTGGCAAGTGCAATGTGGAAACCAAAACCAGGTGACAGGAAAGAACACAGAGGGTAGCAGAGGACCTGCAAGATGAGGTTATGTTGATTATCTGCTGTCGCTTAAGAAATACTATGCCTTGAACAGCTCAAAGCTGTACACATTAGCTATAACAGTGTTTCTACAGGCTGAGAGACTGGGGCTGACTCAGCAGGACTGTTCTGCTCGGGCTGCATTTGGGCTGTTGGGTGGGCTGTGTCCTTACCCGAAGGCTCAGCTGGGGAACAGTTGGTCTCCAAGCCCATTAAGGTTACTGACAGAGTTCACTTACTGGGGGTCACCTAAGTGAAGGCCAAGGTTTTTTTGTGGCTGTCAGCTGGAGATGGCCCCAGGCCTCCTAGGCTGTCTACAGTTCCTCTCTCCACTGAGCCAGGGTGATGTTTTCTCCTGTGGTGTGTGACCTCCAAGGGCCCACACGTCGGAAGGCTGGTCTTCAATGTAGTGATGTTGGGAGGTGAGGAAACTTTTGAGGGGTGGATCCTGAGCTAGTGTGACGAACACACTTATAATCCTAGCACTCTGAGAGGCTGAGACAAGAGAACTACAAGTTCAAGCCCTGCTGGGCAACTTGGGGAGACCAGGGGCCACTGATAGACTGAATCCCACCTCCATCTCATCAGCCAGTTGCACCAAATCCATTAAAG